AGTGAAGACCTGGCATCCTTGTGATGGGAGAAAAGATGGAGATGGTCTCAATGGACTTTTCTGTGCCCTGAAGCTCAAGAACACCTCGAGACACAAGCGGGCCGACACGATTATTCTGAAGAAAACTCTATTGGACAAGTCTCACTCAACTGGGAAACGTGATCACGACCTTCTGGTGGCGATACAAGTTGCAAAACAAGCCCATGTTCACCAAGACACCGAAGAATCTCTATTGCAAGTCACACAAGCAGCGTATGACTCATATTATGAGGTCGTTGGCGAAACCAGGCAGCACCACAAATTCGACGAAGACATGAATTCCAGCGAGAAGTGCTCGAAGGAATTTCTAAGACCTCCGCCACAACAATCACTTCCAACAAAAATCCCAGTGGCAACCAAGGAAGAATATTCTGACAAGAGCACGGCTTTTCGTCAGCATTGGGACAGTCCTTCTTTTGAAATTCCTACAAGACCCCCACAATTCAACCTTCGGAAGCTACGGAAGATTTTATGCTTTACGAAATCCAAGATCACTCAAGTTCAACGCCGAAGCATGGATGCTCCCTTCACGGCGGCTGAATTTTCCAACGCGATCAAGCACACTGCAAAAAACAAGGCTCCTGGACCTGATGGTCTTCCGATCGAGTATTACCAACTCTTTCAGGAATAATGGAGCCGAGTTTTCGAAGTATGCTACCCAGCCCAACTCAAGCAATGATAAATGTCAAAGTTTCAACGAAAAGCATATATATCCCTGCTCTACAAGTCTGGCAATAGACTTCAACCCGAAAACCATCGGCCATTGATGCTTCTCAACGCGGATGCAAAGCTGGGTTCCAAGATCCTCTCCTATCGGCTTGGATCAATTTTACCTACCCTGCTCCACCAAGACCAATACGGCTTTGTCCGTGAACGTTCAATTCAACAAGCACTTTTCCAATTTGAAACGATCCGACAAACCTGCGTTTCAAGCAACATGGATGACGCGGATGGAATTCTTAGGATTTTGCGAAAACCTTCGACAACGTGTTTTGGGAAGTGTTTTTTAATACGCTACGACATCTCAGCTTTGGCCCCCGGTCATCGCGTGGATCAACACACTTTATTTGGGCACGTTGGTTCATCTTTTGTTCAATGTCACGGCCCTCTCTCCATTCGAATTGGGTGCTGGCGTTCGTCAAGGTGACCCTATCCCCGGGGTTGTTCATCCTGTTTATCGAACCAATGCTGAATTACCATCGACATCAACTCAAGGAAGCCGGCATCATCATCGAAGGGACATTCTTTAGCACCATCGCATTTGCTGAAGATTGTACGGGACTCCTCAACGACATGAAACAAGCTCCCAAGTTTTTGCGACTTGTGGGTGACTTTTGTGAAGCCACGGGTATGGCTCTGAACCTGAAGAAAACAGTCCCTCTCCCGTTCAAGCCGTGGAAACTTAAAACACGCGCTTTATTACAAAACCTTGGTGTTACCATTGTTGAAGACCATGGCAGCTGCAAACTCTTGGGGGTTTATTTCGGCCCGGCACTCAGGGATCAAGATAGAATTTTACATTTGCTGCCCAAGATTCAAGCAAGATGCCTACTCTGGTGATATCGTGCAAGTACTCTACAAGGCAAAATGATTATTCTCCGTTCAGTGATTTTGCCACTGCTCTGGTATACGGCAACAGTTTGCTGCATAGAAGACTCGACTCTGAAGCTTTTCGAACCTGCTTTCATCAACTTCCTCAATGGAAACACGTCTCGACAAGCCAGCAATTCGGGGAAGTCGCAACAAACTCTGACATCATGTATCAAGAAAAACGGCGGACTCGGCCTCCCATTGCTTTCATCGACGCTAAAGTGCCTTCAACTGAACTTATTTATATCCGGCCTGAAGAAATCGCGCACAACTCCCACAAATCCCCAAGATGGTTTATTCCTACGATTTACTTGTACAAGCCAACAAACGAGATATGGTCAAGGGCTCGATATTCTTTTCACCAAGTTCCGATGACAAGTTCAATTTGGACACTCCCACAAAGGACCCATGAAGATTTTTTGGATCATACCTACTCCAAGTTCTGTGCACATGGAGTGAAGTATTTCACAACTTCACGACTGCTACTTGCGAACCCGACGATTTACAATGCCTGCCGATCTGGACGAATTATTTATTCTCCAAGACACGACAAGTCAAGCAAGTCTCAGTTCACACGCATTTTATTGCGTCAACGGGTTTACATTACGCATTTGGAACAAGGTCTGTCCCTCCCAGCAGCAAATTTACTCGCCGAAGTTCTTCCCTTGACAACCTCAACTTTGGCGAGGATTTATGTCAAGGGACTGCACCACCAAGACCAATTCAAGCCGCATTTCACTCATGGAAGCTCGGGGAATTCATAATCGATTAAGTTAACTTGGTTCAACTCTAGACGGTATTTAAACCACCTGGCCCAAGTATTACTCCACCGCTGGATCGACTGGGAATTTCTCGACAACCACAATGGCGACTCGTTTGGACAAGAGAACTCTCGCTCGGCAAGTTCCTCTTACCCATCTTCGCGGATCTCAAGTTCCGTTTGCAACATAACTCCCTTGGTTTTTTGTACAAGTTTAGTGGAGACGAGAAACAATCAATTTGTCCATGGCTGCCCCGACACTGAAGATGCGTCCCACCTCTTTTGCACATGCACAAGAGCTCAAGACATTTTTTAGAACCGCTGCGGCAAGTTTTGGGCAGCTTCAACTGGAATTCGATTTTATATACCGACAACGTGAGCATCACATCGGCATACAAATCCAGCTACCACAACGAACCCTTTGTGCTACTCCACATGCTCAGAGCGATCATTTTTCAACAGCTCTGGCTATGTCGCAACGATAATCTTTATGAGCGGGCACGTTTCAATCCGATCAAGACACAGAGTATCGTTTCAACGTACCTGGGGGTTGCACGTACAAGCGCATTTGAACCGACTCCAATCCAAGACAACCAAGGATAGCAACCGCAGGGTGTTCAGATTTCGGTCGTTGCTCCAACTTTGTGACCGCACCAGCTTGGATTGCTTGCCGAATGATGAAATCGTTCACGGAAGTACTCCAACACCGGCATGATCCAAGAACTCGAGAATTATTCCAAGTTCTTGCAAAATTCACCAAGGCACAAGTGATGATCACCCCAGACCACAACGAGTGAATTCTGAATTTTTTTGGTAAAGTCAAGTCAGCATCAAGGAAGACGAATTCGAATTCGAAGCATCAAATGAAGCACAAAGCTACCTGCCATGTACCAAGCAAGTGCAACAGACTTAGAAGATTCCAAGACGATTCCAAAAATCGCTGGTAAAAAGAGCCCCCTGCGACACAAGACAGCTCAAGTCAATTAAATTGACTCAAGCCATCAAATGCGCAAAGGGACATTTTATTCCAAGTCCAAACCAACGCGATGCATCAAACCGATCGAAGAAATGAAAATGCTCGCTACAAGCCATGAGCCTCTCGGGCAGCAAGTAGAAAAGTCACTCTAAAGGATAATGAATTATTATAGTCCGGAATCAAACCCTAATTCCCCGTTACCCGTTAACTCCATGGTAGGCCCATGACCATCCAAAGCTGATAGGGCAGAAAATCAAACGACTTACAGCTTAGAGCGATCGGCACAGTCATTATGATTCAACAAAATCACCGAAGTGAATTGGTTTCAATCTAATAAATGCTACCCGTCCGACAAGCAGTTGGGTATATATGCATGTATTAGCTCTAGAATTACTACGGTTATCCAAGTAATTAGGTACTATCGAGTAGACTAAAACTGATATATTGAGCCATTCGCAGTTTCACAATACGAGGTTGTTTAAACTTAGACATGCATGGCTTAATCTTTGAGACAAACGTATGACTACTAGCAGGATCAACCAGGTTAATATCTTGAGTTCTCTTTTTCCCAAACACTCACAGTCATCTGGTAGACCTCCATGGTTTCCGATCAACGCCGTCGTCATGCATGGACTAGTACTTGCGCTTCGTGGCTTTTGAGTTTCTTGAGCTCCTTCTCCACGTCTTTCATCTTGAAAGTGTAGCACACTCTTTAACTTGACGGGGTTCAGCTCTTGCGATTCCTTGGCTCCGCTGTACAGTTCGGTGCGAGACGACGACACGAGCGCGGACTGGCTGCCAGAGGCAGCCAACAGAAGGGCCTCTCGTACCGGTGTCACCACCGCAGCCTGGGCTGCTGCTTTTTCGTACTCTTTGGAAGCAGCCGCCTTACCAGTTTCGCCTGTGCAGTAACTCTTGCAGACATTGGGTTGGCAGCACGCAAACCTCCATGCGTGTGCAAGCTTGTCATGCCAACGCCCCAAACTTGCGTGTGGTTGTTTTCCACCACGTCTTTGATATATTTACTATTGACTACAGCGTATTCGACTCCTTTCAACTACATGTGCACTCAACAAACACGAGTCGTCTTAGAGCAATCCAAAACACATCTCCCTGCATGGTTGTTCTGCTGTGCAGGGCAGTTGGGTCGCCCGATTGTTTGACCCACTGATTGTCTAGTACCGTGGCTCTAGTATCCCTGTTGATGACGTATTTTGTAGTATTACTTTAGTATGCAAGTCAGTAGCCACGAGGCTCCTGCCCACTCAGCCTTCCTGAAGTAATACAGTCTTGGATTTGCCTTACAAAAAAGGTAACTTTGCGGTAGGAGGCCGTGAAGGACGAACAAATGATTCTTTAGATGTTATCAGCTTCAACAGCATCAAGACCTCGGAGATGCCTCGTGATGACTTGTCTTATGGTGATCTCTAGACAAGAAAAGTTGAGCGATCGCGGTCGCGTGATCGCGATGTAGAGCCGCGTGGGCGCCGTCAGGAACGGCGCAACTTTGTAAATCCCTTTCGTTCTCAGAGAAGACGGCAGCCTCATCCTGTCGACGAGTGGCTACCCTCACGTAGTGGGTACGCGTCTATCCATGCGCGGACTGACGGACCGGCGCCGGTGTCATCCGTCGAAATGTTCGGAGTGACGGCTGAAGAAGCCATGAACTCTGGAATGGCAGCAGCGACCGATGAAGCGGCTTTTACCGCGGGTTGAAGCAACCACCCATGAGCGACATCCACATGGGTAGTGGCTATGGGTATGGTCGCGGTTAAGAGTGGAATGCGCCAGCAATCCCACAAGCACCGACCTTCAAGGGATCGACGAAGTTGGAGCGTCGCGTTTTTATGCGCGAGTACCAAAAGTACTTGGCGCAGATCAATGCCCTGCAATGCAATGGATCGCGTCCCTTTGTCATGCCCGTGGGTACCTGCATGGACCCGTTCTCGAAGCGATGGATCGCCATGTTTGACCTCAACAAGGACCACAACCTTGTTTCTGAAGCCGAAAGGTCGCGTGGTTTCACGCGGCGTTAGTAGAACATCCCCAGGATCTGGACGTCCTGAAGAAGCGGCTTGTAGCTGCCATTCGAATTGACATGAAGAGTCCAGAGTTGGTCGTATGCTGGAGGGGACCTTATGCGTGTGCTGGAGCAAGATCACCAGGAATTGGTGCTCCATCAAGAGGGCAAGGTCGTTGTCGAGGCGATGGCACGTGCTGAAACGTTGAAGATTGCGGTGTACAAGCAGTTACATCTTCAACGACACAAGGGCTTCAAAAGCGATGTATTTCGTTTTGTCAGCCGGCTCCGGCAATTTCCGCAGATTTTCAGCTGTATGTCGGTCTAAAAGAAGCACCCGTTGCTCCGCAGACGGCGAATGCGGTTGGTGAAAGCGGCATCCGCGGCAGAAGAAGTGATGACGGCAGTCGTAGTGACGGGTGCCATGACGGCGGCGCAAGGAACGCGCTGAAGGCGCAGCCAGTAGAGAAACCAGATGCCTCGGGCGACAAGCACGAAGCGGCGCAGGGGATGCTTGAAGTGCGGTGTCAAGAGTCACCGCGTTGTGGATGGCCCCAAGGCTGCACCTGGCGAGGCGCAGCTTCTGGTTGACGCGTTGGTCAATAAGCAACGAGGCCAGATTAACGTGTTGGCCGCCAAGTCCAATCGCCGAGTTACGAAAGGTGTAGCTTTGGTGGAAGACTCTGTCCGAGTCGAGAATCTCTTGCTCGACTCGGGGGCGGATGTGAACGCCATTTCGTGCGGTGTTATGGAAGCATTGACAGCGGCAGCCGTCGCTGTAGACATCGTGGTACACTACAAGCCACAGCTGGTCTTCCCCTATGGGGAGACGGCTGCACCGCTGAAAATGTCGTGACGTACCACGTTCGGCAATTTAACCCTCAATACAGCGTGCGGTCCGCTTGTCCTGCGCGGCCTGAAGGCCTGGGTCGACGACACGGCCTCGTCGTTCGATCTAATCATCAGTCGTCCCGTCATGGAAATGCTCGGGTTCTCTGTGGACGACCTGCTCGTCGAAGCGCGGCAGCAGAAGTCGGAGTGGGATGTGTCTGACGGCGTGGGCATCCCATATTCCAACATGGCGCGTGTGACGCGTTTAATAGTCAAACGTAGGGATTCACTTGATCCTTGCCTCGAAGACAGCGATGGCATTCAGTGTGCCACGCCCGACGTCATGAACTCGAAGATTGTCGAGGACAACAAAGCGACAGTGTGCTGAAGTTGCTAATGGCCAAAGCGGGTGAACCAACGTGACGCCGGTGAAGTGCGGCATGCGACGATATCCACCAGCGTACGTCGAGTACATGCGCGAGCGTGTAGAGGCGCTGGAAGCGAAAGGTATGGTGTACAAGAACAACCGGTCAAAGTGGGCCTCGGCGCTCCGCATCGTGCCGAAGGAAGCCGCAGGAGCACTGCGAATGACGATTGATAGTCGCCCTATCAACGCATGCACGGACCCGATGCTGTGGTCCATGCCTAACCTTGATAGCGCACTTGCCTCCCTCGAAGGAACGAGTGACTACTTCAACTTGAACTGGACCAAGGGGTACTGGCTACTGCCGTTGCACTCTGACTCACAAGAATATTTTTCGTTCATGACCCCCTTTGGCATCAACACACCAACCCGCGTGCTCATGGGTCAGACTGATGCAGAGGCGTACTGCCAGTCTGTCGTGCGCCAAATGTTCGACGACCTCTTGTTCCGCGGTCTGCTAGTGTGGTAGTGCTCTGGTCGAGTGCGCCCCGAGTCCAGCTCAACCTTGCTGAGGTCGGTTGCTGGATGTTGGATGGATTCGTACGGGACGA